AACACCATATGGAATAAGAATCCAATTGCTATTTACTAGGAATTCGTGACTATCCCCGGTGTAATAAAAGCGAAACCTACGCTAAGAATATGGAGCCTATCGTGGGTAATACAAAACCTGCTCTACGAAGTAGATTTCTATCTCTGAAAAAAACTAGGTGCGCATCATGAAACCCCGTTCGAACCTTATGATACATTCATAGAAGAAACCAGTTTCCAAATAACCAGTAATGGTAGGCTTGAGACCTGGAATTTCGTTTAACAATGGGCTCGTCAAGATCCCAATCTCACACAAAACGGCCTGACTCGAAAAAAATCAATTTATTCGCAGTAGAACCGAAATAAAACTATCAAAGTAGCAATGTGTATAATACGTAAAATATTATATTAGACAGTATCACTATTCAGACGTCACTAACACATATTTCAATGATGTTTACAAAGTTCAACATAGGTAATCATGATGATGATGATAATGATGATGAGAGAAGGATTCGGACAAGAGAAAAGATCGCAAACGCTTTGCAGCCGATAGAATTCTAAGAAAAGCGTCGCTGAGTAGAGATAAGGGTAATCAAACGACATGGAAAGTGAAAAGAGATTAGCGACAAACACATATACGAAAAATATCAGCGGTGTCAACGGATATTCGCAAGCGAAACGCGCGCGCGTACAGGAACTACCTAAGTTTTCCTTCTCCACACTTATAAGTTCATACTTATGATGTTCCGAGAATCAGGGCGACGATCATACCGTAGAGACCAAGTACCTAAATAATGAGATCGAAAAATGTTCGGCCAATATTCAAACACCTCAAAAATCACAACTCACTTCAGAGAAGATAAGGATGAGAATCATTCCTACGAAGAGACGAGGCTGTTGAGCGGTTCCACGAACTCCAGCGTCTCCCACGATACCGATGGCGTAACCAGCTCCCAGACCGCACAGACCGCATGTGAGTCCAGCGGCCAGATGTGCAAACCCTTTGTTCAGGTTATAGCCTTCACTTGCCGACTGCACCTTTCCTTTCAACACCATCGCAACGACAAGACCGTAGATACCAATGATACCAGCCATAATGACGGGAATCACAGACTTCATTATCAACTCTGGTCGCATTACCCCCATCGAGCAAATGCCTACTGCTGATTTGGCAGTGCCATATGCAGCACCCAGAACTGTGAAGATCTGAAAAAAGAAATATCATCAGGTTTGAGCGAAAGAAGCACTTTGAAATCAGAAAGCGCTTTGGATCTACC